CTTAGTGGCTGCGGACCAGATCCCGGGTCAGTTTGTCCTCTGCACACTGTGAAGCAAACAAGAGGTCTGAGAGAGATCTGGAGTCTGGGCTCTATTCAGTAGCACAGAGATCAGGTGTTTGGGTCCGTGAAGGGCTTCAGTCCAAATAAAACAATATAAATAAACTTCAGAGCACTGAGCAGAGCAGGAGACAGAAACCCAAGTACCTTAAATATTGCACTGGCACAAAGCATCTGGAGCTCCTCATTGTCACTTCTCAGGTTTTTCACCAAGTCCTTCACCATCCCTTCATTTTCAATAGCAACCCTGTAGTTTTTCTGTAGGAACAGAAAAACACAACAAAACGTCACAAGCATGAATAAATATTCAAACACATTGTTTACATGCTTAAACATCATCAAAAATTCCATTAACTTCCATTTATCCCACATTTTAAATAAAATTTGATCTTGATCTACTTTTTCTTTACTTCTTGATAATAGTTGTCAATGGAGTTGTCATCCAATCTGATGCAAACATGCCTTCTGATCACACACGTTCATCATTTAAACGTCACTGCGGACGCTCTGTTGTTTCTTGACCTTTTAACTTGCCTGCTGGACACTGTGTGCTCACCTTGAAGCTGACCAAGTCCTCCACCATTTAAAAGTGAAGATTTCACCTATAGTTTTAAATGTCATCCTTGATCCAAACTGCAGCCAGACTGACTGTTGTAGGGAAACTGAACGTCTCCAGCACACAAGGAGAAACATTTCATCTAAGGAGTCAGAATGTCCTATTTTTACAGTTTACGCTAAAAAAAGTTTTAAATATTTTAGACTTTTGTCATTAAAATGTCAAATAACTTCGATATTGGAAATGTGTTGTTTGCTGTACTTCCAGGCATACCTTTAAAGTGACATCATCTGCTGGACTTTGTTTGTTGTTGCTGATATTTTTGCTGTGCAACCATTTTTTCTCTCAGCTCCCACCTGTACCTGGTTCCACTAATCACCTCCTAAGCTTTGCTAGTCTGCCGGTTTCTGTTACATCTTGCCAGATTATGCTGTTCTGTCTTCTGTTTCTTTGTCACACCTGTTTCCAGCCCTGATATTTGTCATTGTGTCATCTCTATTTTTGGATTTTGTAACACAATGATTTTCATGTTGTCCAATTTCCATTTGAGTCCCAGAACTACTAATGCTCCTAATTTTTTCTATTCCAAAACAGGAAAAAATAAGAAAAAATAAGTACCACAGATATTTTACATATGCAATAAATATTTAATGACAAAATTAAATTAGTAAAAGTTTGTAGGAAGCTTTACTAGTTTAAACTGGATTAGTCAACAATAGAATAATATGAACCTGAATCTCAATGATGATTTACAGTAACGACTGTTTCACAGAATCAGATTAACATGTCTTACAGCAAAAGAACAACATTACTGGATACAGAGGCTCTCCTCACCTGTGAGGCACATTCCTGCAGGGTTCCCACAACAGGGATCACCATGTCCTCATATGGAGACCTGAGCAGGAATCCCAGCAGAGGGATCCCCCCAGCTTTACGGATGGCCTCCTTGTTCTTGCTACTTTTGCTGAGGCTCCACAGAGCCGAGGCTCCACAGCGAGCCACCTCCAAATTCATCTCCATGTCTTCTTCCGGTGTTGCCGAGTAAGGGAAGCATTCCAGCAGCTTCACCTGATCAAAAAGAGGATCCCAGACTTCTAAACAACTCAGTGAAGCCGACATGGTTCCAGGAACTCCCTGAGGTTTGCTTCCTACTTTGAGGTGATAATGGAGGGTTTCAAATGAGAACAATAAGTAGTTAGCCATGATTAAGGGTGTAATTAAAACTCTTATTACCACAGGTTGTGCAAGGATGAAACCAGCAGAGATACAAGAGAGAAAAAGTAGTAGGACAGATGCTGATGATAGAGCTGAGAAGCCCAGTGTGACGGTCATGGCCTTCAGAGTTTGAACCCTTACTTCCTGGCCAGTGACAAAGCTATAACACACTACACAGTTAAAAGGTAGAACAGCATGAAAGAAATCTGCCATGTGAGCAACTCACATATGAGCACATTCGATTTGAATCTGAAAAAAATATACAAAGGATGGAGGCTTTAATTACTGCTACTTCTGTCAACAAACAGGAATGCATGTCAGAGGATGCAGGAGAAACTCTAGCTGCTTTCCCCAGCATCCAATAATGGATGGACACTATCAAGAATCTGCTGTGCACCACAGGGAGAGAATGGAAATGTTTTATATGTCTTACACTTTAAAGAAGAAGTGATGTACAGGAAGAAATGAAGAGAAGCTGAAATTGTTGGACCATAAAGCTTTAACAGCTTTGTAATGCTGCCAATCCTTCCTATAACTTTGTGGTGGTAGAGAGGGCAGGACAGCTGCCAGACCAGTACAACACCAGAACCAGGTCAGCTTTCAGTTTTCTCATGTTACACTGCAGTTTGTTCATGTTACAAACATGAACAAACAGGCTTTAAGTTGACCTATTCTGAACAGGTCTATGGGCTATACGAAACACGTTTTTTTACCTTTCCTTTTTGTTGCACAAAATCATTCTTATATAATGAGATTTCAGTCTGCTCAGTTCTATGTACTTAGAGCTTCTTTCAGAATGAGCTGTTTTAGAGCCTCTTGTCACTTTAAATCCAAATAAGCTGCTGGTGACTATGCTCCCCTAACTCAACATTTACACTCCCAAGTGAAAATGGTTGCAAACAGAGCCATAGTTATACAAACACACATATTTGAAAAGCAGAGGAAGTGAAGCCTCCTGCACAACCAACAAGAATGCAATAAGTGTTTTCTGAATGGTAAGTCAACAACAAAACAGATGTCTTTTCCAGCAGCCATTGTACAGCACATATAATTGGAAAACCATCTGGCCTAAGGTGCTGAAGCTAAGCATCGGTTACAGTTGACGAGCTGAACTCTACAATGGTTGGAGGTTTTGGAAACGGTTTGTTTTCCAGACACCTAAAAACATTAATTCACTGACACAAAAGAGCTAGGTGTTTTCTTTAAGAGCTTGGACTGTCTTATAGAAGCAGTTGAGGCCCAAATGGAAGCACCCAAAAAGAAGCAAACATCCATCATTCCGAGCTGAGACTCACCAGTTTACTGATTCCTCCATGTACCCTCACTATTCTTCTTGCTCTTCTGAACTTTGCCACATGTGCAATAGTCTCAGAGGCCAAGGCCTGCAGTTCCTTCACCGGTATGTCCAGGTTGTTCACCATCCTCTGCAGGCCTCTCATGTTTACAATGGTCTGTCGGATGATAACGTTCTGGCTGATCTTTGCCAGGATTTTTAAAGATCCAATCTGATCAAATGACAAAAGCAATGTGTGGAAAAAAATAAAGAACTATTACTTTACAATAACTGTGCTGAAACAGGAATATATAGAAGTCAAACACTCAGCTGTATTTCCAATAAAAGTAGGCAAAAAGTCAGAATAAAAGCAGTTCTGCACTGAATGATCATTCCTGCACATGCGCAGGCTGAGTCCTTGGTCCCTCGGAATTACTGTCTCACAAGAAAGTTGAGGGCTTGAGTGCCGAGTGTCATGTGACTTTATAGACTCACATGGGTCACTGGCAGATCCCCAGTGACTTTGTTGTGATTAACATTCGACCTACACATGTGCAAGGATTATCATTTTAGTCCTTGAAGAATCTGCTCTGGCGGTCAAACCATAGTTCGTTGTTGCTTTTTAAGTAACCTTTACTTTTTAAGTAACCTTTACTTAAAAAGCAGTCAAACATGTCATACTGGTGAATAACAGCTGTCTGTGTCTTTAACAGCCTGCTCCCTATACCAACACTCCTGTTACACCAACTAAAACCCATACTGACACATAGAAGCAGTTCTTGTCATGACTGCAATCCATCCAGGTCCAGCTTAAGTAAAGCTACTCACTTTGCTTCTGATGTCTGTAGTATCCAGCAAGTTAAGGAGGAGCTCCAGCCCACCTAAGTCCAGAATGGCCAGTTGGATGACCTCCTTCATTAGATCAAGATCCATCATGGCGCAGAGAACAAGCACAGTGGCTGTCTGGTCTGCTGCCTAAAACAATGTTTATCAAACAGGAGCAAAGAAAAATGAAAGAGAACATTCAAGGCTAAAGGGATTGATGCAGTGCTCATAGAATTAGTCTGTGCAGTTTGTCTCTGATTCACTTTGACTGGACGTGTTTGGTTGTTACTGCAGGCTTGAACATAGTTGTGTGGTGGTAACCACTGAGGGAAACATTTATTCTGCAGAGAGACTGAAGCTCCCAGACCAGAACCTGACATTGTGTTTAGATGCTTATTGTCTTTAAGTCATCATCTTTGGACCTAAAGAGGAATGATCTAGAGTCAGCACACAGCTTCAGTCAGAAACCAGTGATCAGGCTTGAATTCTGGGTGTGGTGATGGAAAAAGACCTGAACCACTAGAGCTACAAATTCAGCCTATCACCTGAAAAACATTTCCAGGATTATATAATCTAATTCACTGATTGTTATGCCTATGTTGTGTTCTCCCCATAGCTAGAACTGAGTGAGTATAATCAGTACCAATGAACAAACATAGAGGTGTGGAATAAACACATTATCTTGAAACATCAATAATCTAATGTTTATGTTCAAACAGGCTCATCAGTGGAGACCTACATCCACAATCTCAGTTGTGTGATCAGATCTTCTTCACAGAGCAGTTCTCTGACACTGCAGGACAACAGGAACATGTGTTCTCCATATCATGAAGCTAAAACCTAAATGTGAACCATTTGTCCATTAACAGCAGTGGATCTACTGCTTCCTTTGTCTCCTCCATTCTAACTCTTCAAAGGATTTGCTGGGCCAGCTTCATACCTTGTAAAAACAAGAAAAAATGTGATGTTCAGGAGCGATAGCTGGGAAATCAGTAAATAGATCATATGTTTTCATTTTCAGACACTTTGGTCTGGAGGGATTGTCGACATTCTTTAAAACATCGACACCATCTGAAGTCTCTTATGATGAAGGATTTTTGACTTTCCTTTAGCAGGACCAGAGCAGAGTCTCCAAGACGAAAACATTCAACCATAGAAGAAATTATTCAAATCAATGCAAAGTGTTTAAAAACTGCATCATTGCTTTCTTTGTCCTCAAGTGTTAACTGTGATTTATTTTACAATCTTTGTTTACTGAGCTATAACAATCAGATTAGTTTTTATTAACAATAACAAACTTGTTTCCACATGTTGCAGAGCTGACATTGATCATTTCAACAGTAATAACCTCTGTAGCCCCATGGCATTACAACATGGTGGCTATAGAAGATCTATTGAAGGTTTAATGATTATCACAAAATGAAAGAATCTTCTTGGAGGTCACTCTGTAGTGATCTTTGAGGAAATGCACACGGGCAAAGGAAACAGCATTAGCATGAGTTGGTACTGTGGTTCTGAAGGAGATGACACACAGAGAGAGTAAAACTATCCAGGATAAAGTCTCTAGAGCTGTTAAAATACACCTAAATAAAGCAGAAGATGTCAGTATAAAGGCTGCACAGTGGCACAGTTGGTAGCTTTGCTGGCTTGCAGCAAGAAGGTCCTGGTTTCTGCATGGAGCTAGCATGTTCTCCCTGAGCATGTCCGGTTCCACAAGGACATGACTGTCAGCTGGATTAATCTCTCTAAATTCTCCTTAGGTGTGGGTGTGTGTGCATGATAGTCACAACCCCACAAGCGTGTTGGGTAATCGATGGATGTGAGCCTCATGAAGATTCCTTCAACATGTTGCTGCTTCTCTCCCTGCAGGTTTCTCTGCCTGAGCAGCTAACAGCAGAAGCCTCCACGTGGCTGAATGAAGGTCTTCTTGTAATCGGTTTCCTCTGGAGCTGCAGCTGGGATTCTGCAGACACAGTCTGACCTGCTGCAGCTCCAGGCCAATAAATCACAGCACTAAGGATGTGAAGCAGGAACGAGGTGAGCAGCACTGCCAGTGAAGCACTGGTGACCCTTTATGCAGCGCTTTTCTGCACGTGACCTGGACATGTTGCTAGAAGGAGTGAACATCTGTGTTTAGTGTGGAGTTCTGATCTGCAGCGTTGGGTTGGTGCAGATGAATGCAGGCCGCTGACAGAGCTTTGTAGATCTTAATGTCAGAGAGGAAACCTGGCAGAATTTGAACTGATGAGGACAGATCAGTGTTCAAACTGCAGGTTCAGAGTGAAGATCACCCAGTAACAAGAACAATCCAGTCTCTGGATGCTCCATAGGAAGGATGCTGGTAGAACTGGACAGAATGAATGATTACTGATGTCCAATAAAATAAAGCTGAATCACTTCATATTCATCAGTGTCATAAAAGGAGTTAACCTTTTATGGTTAACCCCTAAAAGGTTAGATCTTGATCTAGATCTAGTCAAAGATCTAGTTTTTTGACTAGATCTTTATTCTAGTCAAAGACCTGATTAGAATAAAGATCTAATCAGGTCTTTGAGTTGAGAAATGCTTCGTTCACAAAAAGAAAAATTATGTCATCTTTAAAGAATAAATAATTATTAGAAAAAATAAAACAAACCATCAGATGTTGGACAACATAATGAGACAGAAATGAGCTTCTGGTGAGAAAACCTGCTGCTGCTGACTACTTTATGGATTAATTTTATTACAGCAATCAGTCATGAAGAACTGAGAAGAACAATGCAGCAGTTCTGCTTCTGGCCAGCAGAGGGAGGAAACCTTAAAGAGGATACAGCTTGTAGCAATCAGCTACTGTTAAATTCATTAGTTTAATGAAAATCTCTGTTGATATTTAAACAAGTCTAGCATTGTCTTCCTAAAATATCTCTAGTTTTATCAGCTCAGTTTTTTCTGCAATAATTAGAGTGAAGCTTTAAAATCTAGCATTAGTTCTACCTGCTGCATCCTTCCTGTTAAAATAAATCTGTTTATAATAGGGATGATTAAACGAAACTCATACTTTAACACTAATGCATTAGAAAGTGGAGAGTGAAGTGAGAACCATGTAAAACAAACACATGAATTCATGTTTGTCAGAAACTGACTTCAGATTGGATTCTGGATGTTGTGAGAATCAACATGAGCCTCATAGAGGAACAGGTCTGTAGCCGTCCAGGTAGAAAAACTAACACTTCAGACCCCTGAGCAAATATTCCTACATAAACATCATTAAAACATCAAACAGATCATGCATGTGTCGCTGTGTGAAAGTATTTCACTTCCTAAACAACAAGCAGCAGTCTGTGGTGTGAGAGGGAAAAGATCTGCTCCTAAAATAAAAACAGATATTTAACTTGGCTCTTGCTGACTGGCAGCCACTGATGGTGACAACATTACAAAACAACTGCAGGTGAAAGGTCATAAATAACTGCACTGTGGGGTTTCCAGACAGAAAGAAAGCAGGGACATGCTGTGCAGAGTTAAATGCATCTTTCTGCGGCAGGAAAACACAAAACCCTAAAACCATCAGCACAGGTCCTGATGTTAAACTTTAAAATACACTGCATAGTGTGTTGATTTTATCTGAATGTTGCCTCTTTCGTATCATTTACATCTGTTTGTTCCTTTGCTGGAAATAGTGAATTCCTCCTTTAAGACACGGAATTTCCTTCCAATTATTTTTTATTTTCTTCAGCTAAAAATTCCCTCACATAATTCCTCTTGACTGGAGAGTTTTCCACAAAACATTTCTTTCCTGGAGTGAGCAGGATCTCATTTAGCAACAAGCTCTGGAAGTCAGAAAATAATCAGTTCCAACAGGACACCACAAAATTGTTTCCTGAACATCAAGCCCTTCAGTTTTAAGCTATGAAGTTATTTTTACTGCTGAATAATGAAGTGTGAAAGTTATTTCTAATATAATCTGTCTGAGTGATCTTGTCTAGATAACATAGAAAAGGGATCAAAAAAAGGAGGAAGGAATTCTCAGGTATTCCCAGTCAGTCTAGAGCGCTGCTGCATCCACATTAATATACCCCATATGTCCTGTCAAATCCATCACAGATTTACTTCTCTGTGGTTTGGGCTAATAGGGATACAGCTGTCTGTCAGTACTGCCTCCTGAACCTCAACTCTGATATGCAAACCAAACAGGTCTGTGTCAGAACAACAAGAATCCAATCAAACACTTCAGGAAACATCTCCATTCAAAGCAGAGCTTTAAATAGGAGCAGGTGACATTGATTTCCTCTGACATCCTTCAGTCACAGACTCAGATCACGAGTCTGGATCTAAACAGCTGGCATGGTCTTACAGGAATACAGGCGTTGGGAACAGCTTTGATTGGAAGACAGATGGACAGAAAAAAACCTCTGATTTTACTGCCTCCTGACAGCTATGGCCTGCTTTGGCTGAGCTAGAAAAACTATCACTACATTGGGATGAATTCTATCTGTGGAAGGAAACAACAGTGTTCTGGGTGATGTTCTCATACCTTGAGGTACTTCACGAGTTTCTGGACCTGCCAGTATTCAGACTGCAGTTCAGTGCTGGTGTCAGGACGTCTCTCTGTCTGCTCCTCTTCCTCCTCACTTTCACTGGAGCTCCCGCTGAAATGCTCTTCTGGGAAGGATGCTACTATGCTTTTCCTGAATACAAACAGCACATCTGTGACTGTAGATAACCACATATGCAGGAGTCGGCGAGAGGATCCATTTCAGACAAAGGGATGGGCTGGTACATCATGATTAATTCTGGGAGTGTAAATGGATAAACAGCCTGGCCATCCCACACTAGAGCACCCACTAACTATATTCATATTTAAGTTTCAAGCTAGAACTTCCACAAGATCTAAGCAGCGGGAAAACACATCAGAATAATGTCACAGGATGACTGGCGCTGTCATCATACAGAGAGCAAAGACTTGTTGAGCCATTTATGCAACCTCAACTGCAGAGGTTTCTTTAAAACTGCAGAGCTGGTTAGATCAGGAAAACTGGGCACTGTGGACCAATGAAATCTGCTCCCGGTTCAAATGAGAGGTGGCTCCCATGAACAGCCAGATAGCATTTCCAGGGAGAAGATTATCAGAGAGAGGAATGCGACCAGGACTGTGGTGTCCTGCTGTGGTGGGAGCTGATGAGTGGACCAACCCTGGAGTCTTCACTTAAAGGACAGAGGATGACGGCCAACAAAGAAAGCAATCAGAGATGGTGGTTCAAAACAAACTGTTGATTCCACTAGTACTAGTAGCAAGGAACCACAAATGTGACAACATTCAGTTCCTTCTGTCAGCATCCAAATCTGATGAATAAAATACCACAAAGTCTTCAACATCAGAACAATATGAAATGTTTAAAAGGTCAACTCACATCAGGTTTATTATTTTTAGAGTTAAACTGTTCAATATTTCATCTTCACAGCTAAAGGTAGATACCAGTAGAAATACCTGACTGGTATCTCCTAAGAGAGATGCCACTTAGGAGCTGCTCTGCCATTTTTACAATTCTTAGTAATAATAATAATAAAACTGGATTTATAACACACGTTACATGTAAATCTCAAAGTGCTAGAAAATGACAAAAGCATTAACCATTGTAAAATATAATAAAAACTCATTTAAAATATCAATCATAAGATCTTAAAAACAAGAATGTTGTCAGTTCTTTTCAGAAAGACTTTGTGGTCTATGGCACCCTGGGGTGGTGCGGAAGCTCAATCCACAAGTGAGGACAAACTGAGAAAAATGCCCGGTCTCCCACCAATATTAACTTTGTTTGAGGAGTTTAGAGACGCTCCTGTGTTGTTCATGGATAGTACTTCGAGAAGGTGAGGTGCGGTCCTGACACAGCCTGTGTCAGATAGAGGGTCTGCTGTTCAGATCTACTGTCATCTGTCATTCAGGCACCCACCTGCCTCCTGGGATCCGGGAGGCAGGTGGATGCACCGGCAGAGGAGCAGTCTCCAACTATAAGTTGTCAGTCAGTTGAGAGAGTCGATAAGGATACGAAGTGGAGCGGATGTTGGTGATTTTGGTACTGAAAGAACCCAAGAACCTATTCTTCTACATCTGGCAGTTCAATATTAGAAAGGTGAACAAAGACTTCAGGAGTTTATTTCATCAGGAAAAAGTAGAAGGTGAGAACAGCTCTGTATTCTCCTGTTTTATTTTAAGAACCATGGTTTATTATATTAAAACGGAACAAAACAGAGGGAGCTTTGGTGCTATTTCATCCCTACTGACCGCCAGAGGCGGTGCTTCAAGCACTGAATGATCATTCTTGTGCATGCGCAGGTCGAACACTAATGACAACAAAGTCACTTTTGACCTGCCGGGGACCCACGTGAACCACGTGGCACTTCCAGTTCACCCAATGAGTCGCAGCGGCCCTCTCTCCTCTGCAGGCACGAGGCTTACAGATCCTCCCGTATCTGAACGACTGGCTCATTTGTGCCGCGACGTGGGACCAGGCGGTTGGAGACACTCGGTTAGTGCTCCATTATGTGGGATGCTGAAGATGGAGAAAAGCAATCTGACTCCCTTACAGGAGATCATCTACCTGGGCATTGCCATAAATTCCATCTCAATGACTGCTTGCCCGTCACCCCAGCAGGTCAACAGTACATTGAGTGTGCTCCTAGAATTCAGGCGCAGTATGGCACTACCACTGGTGCCGTATCTTCGACTTCTGGGCATGCTTACAGATGCATCCGCTGTAGTGCCCTTGGGTCTGCTGTCATTGCAGCCCCTCCAGATGTGGTTGAACAGCTTGAATCTAGACCCCACACAGAACACTCATCGTCTCAGAAGACTTCGGGTAGGGCCTCAGTGTCTTCAGTCTGTGTCCCAATGGAGGGTGAGGTTGTTTATGATGACGGGGGTCCTGCTCGGTTCCCTCCCGTGCCGTCGGGAAGTTGTGTTAACGGATGCATCCTCCATGGGACCAGGTCAAGGAAACTGTTGTGCTTGACTCAACGGCTTCTGACCTGGGCAGCTCCATACTTGGCCAGCCTCAGAGCAGCCTACATCCCGGGGCCACAGAACATGCCAGCAGATTTTCTATCCTGTCAGAAGCTGCTCCCAGGAGAGTGGAAGCTTCACCAAGAGGTAGTCTAGAGNTTGCTTTCTTTGTCCTCAAGTGTTAACTGTGATTATTTAACAATCTTTGTTTACTGAGCTATAACAATCAGATTAGTTTTTATTAACAATAACAAACTTGTTTCCACATGTTGCAGAGCTGACATTGATCATTTCAACAGTAATAACCTCTGTAGCCCCATGGCATTACAACATGGTGGCTATAGAAGATCTATTGAAGGTTTAATGATTATCACAAAATGAAAGAATCTTCATGGAGGTCACTCTGTAGTGATCTTTGAGGAAATGCACACGGGCAAAGGAAACAGCATTAGCATGAGTTGTTACTGTGGTTCTGAAGGAGATGACACACAGAGAGAGTAAAACTATCCAGGATAAAGTCTCTAGAGCTGTTAAAATACACCTAAATAAAGCAGAAGATGTCAGTATAAAGGCTGCACAGTGGCACAGTTGGTAGCTTTGCTGACTTGCAGCAAGAAGGTCCTGGGTTCGATTCCCGGCCCAGGGTTTTTCAGCATGGAGTTCTCTCTAGGTACCACAAAAACATACATCATCAGGTGGATTAATTCTCCTTAAGTGTGGGTGGGTGTGCATAATGGACTTGACACGATCCCACAAGCGTGTTGGATAATGGATGGATGTCATATCTATGAAAATGTCATAAGAGTGGTCTTTAGAGATTTGATTATCAAGCGTCTGAGAGAACAACCTGAGACCAAGTCAAAGAATAAAAAGTCCCCAAATATGTTCAGCTGTAGCCTGCTCCACTAATTATTAGAGGTCAGCACTACAGTGACATCACGTACATAAATGAGTGATTCTTAACAAGCTCTTCTAGCTGTTATGGAACAGTTTATATAAAAGTTTAAATTTTTTGTTTGTTGAAACTTTGTAGTTAAAAAGGGTTCATCTAGTCTGAAGGATAAAAGCAGCACCAAACGTTTCTTTCATGAACTTGATATGAGCCTCATGAAGATTCCTTCAACATGTTGCTGCTTCTCTCCCTGCAGGTTTCTCTGCCTGAGCTGCTAACAGCAGAAGCCTCCACGTGGCTGAATGAAGGTCTTCTTGTAATCAGGTTCCTCTGGAGCTGCAGCTGGGATTCTGCAGACACAGTCTGACCTGCTGCAGCTCCAGGCCAATAAATCACAGCACTAAGGATGTGGAGCAGGAACGAGGTGAGCAGCACTGCCAGTGAAGCACTGGTGACCCTTTATGCAGCGCTTTTCTGCACGTGACCTGGACATGTTGCTAGAAGGAGTGAACATCTGTGTTTAGTGTGGAGTTCTGATCTGCAGCAGTCAGTCATGAAGAACTGAGAAGAACAATGCAGCAGTTCTGCTTCTGGCCAGCAGAGGGAGGAAACCTTAAAGAGGATACAGCTTGTAGCAATCAGCTACTGTTAAATTCATTAGTTTAATGAAAATCTCTGTTGATATTTAAACAAGTCTAGCATTGTCTTCCTAAAATATCTCTAGTTTTATCAGCTCAGTTTTTTCTGCAATAATTAGAGTGAAGCTTTAAAATCTAGCATTAGTTCTACCTGCTGCATCCTTCCTGTTAAAATAAATCTGTTTATAACAGGGATGATAAAACAAAGCTTGTACTTTATTACTGATGCATTAGAAAGTGGAGAGTGAAGTGAGAACCATGTAAAACAAACACATGAATTCATGTTTGTCAGAAACTGACTTCAGATTGGATTCTGGATGTTGTGAGAATCAACATGAGCCTCATAGAGGAACAGGTCTGTAGCCGTCCAGGTAGAAAAACTAACACTTCAGACCCCTGAGCAAATATTCCCACATAAACATCATTAAAACATCAAACAGATCATGCATGTGTCGCTGTGTGAAAGTATTTTACTTCCTAAACAACAAGCAGCAGTCTGTGGTGTGAGAGGGAAAAGATATTTTTTATTTGTTTTATTCATGGTGACAACATTACAAAACAACTGCAGGTGAAAGGTCATAAATTACTGCACTGTGGGGTTTCCAGACAGAAAGAAAGCAGGGACATGCTGTGCAGAGTTAAATGCATCTTTCTGCGGCAGGAAAAGACAAAACCCTAAAACCATCAGCACAGTCCTGATGTTAAACTTTAAAATACACTGCATAGTGTGTTGATTTTGGGGTACCGTGGTGGTGTGAGGGTACAGGACGTGATCCATGTACGGAGGCTTTAGTCCTCAACACGGCCGTCATGGTTTCGAGCCGATGACCTCTGCTGGATTTCTTCCCCACAACCTTTCCTGTCTGACCACTTCAAATAAAGGCCACTAGAGCAGATACAATCTTAAAAGAAAATGTGTTGATTTTATCTGAATGTTGCCTCTTTCATATCACTTAAATCTCTGTTCCCTTTTTGGAAAGAATGAATTCCTACTTTTAGACAGGGAATTTCCTTCCATTATTTCTATTTTCTTCTCGCAAAAGAAATATCTTGACGGCAGAGTTTTCCACAAAACATTTCCTCAACTGAAGTGAGAAGATATTACACTCAGGGAATGTCGAGATAATTTTCTAATGTATTATGTCTGAATGATCGTATCTAGATTAGGGCTGCAACTCACTATTTTGGTAAACAATTATTCTATAGATTACTCTGATGATTAAGTGGATCAAATAAATCATTTTATTGCCTAAAATACAACAACATTGCATCCCTTTATGCTACACTAAAGGTAAATACTTCTACCATCAACATGTGAAACTCTCAGCACTTTCGGTTTGATGTAATATTAATACATCAAATGTTATTAAATGAATGTTATTAAAGTTATTAAAGTTGTCACATGGTGTGGGCTGAACCACCTGCAGCTCAATGTGACAAAGACCAAGGAACTGGTGGTGGATCTGAGGAGGAGGACCAGGACACCAGTGACCCCTGTTATGATCCAGGGGGTCAGTGTGGAC